ATTTCTTTTGTGGCATAATAACAAATTGGTTAATTTCATAAACCCCCAACCCATTTCAAAAACAAAATCCATAATTTGGGTCTTTGACTAATATGAGGTATCTCCTCACTTTTTAAAAGAACACACACACACATCAAACATTATCTCTCATACAATAAGAGTGAAACCCTCAAGGATTAACTAAAAGATTTGAGATTTTGAAACTCTCTTTTAAAAATCTCTACCTTCTTGAGCCAAAAATCAAAACCTACATAATAACTTCAAGAAACCCTTAAATCAACATCCACCTTGCAAAACATGTATATATAACTCGAAGAAGTCCCTACCTCAAGCTTGATGAAGAGATTTGACGAAACCCTAGAATTGAAAGTTGTAGAAATTCGATCTCCACCGTACAAAGTGAAGTTCTTGCTTTGCTCCTTAAGGTTTGTGAAAAAGATGGATCAAAACTCAATGGATTGCAAGAAATCAAAGGTTCTTGGTATTTGATGAGAGTTTTTAAAGAGAAGGAGGAGCAAAAGTGTTTTTAGAGTGAGAAGAGAGGGTTAAAAGTGAGACACACTCAGCCAAAAGAGAGGAAAAAAAAACAGAGTTCTCGGATCCAGCCCGTCCCGTAGGTGCGGCACTTGCCCCCGTACATACGGAGCCTGCTTCTCGCACGTGCGGCACTCCTCCCCCGTACTTGCCTCTGCACCTACATATAATGCAGTGTGCAGCCCAAAATTCTCCCAGATTCCCGTATGTGCGGCCCCTATCTCGCACGTGCGGCCCAAGGCCCCGCACGTGAAGCTCAGCCCCCAGTCCAGAAAAATTCCAGCTTAAGTGTAAAACCCCTCGGATTCAACTTTAAGCCTCCCAAAACAAGTGGGACTCAAAATTGAAGTTAAGAGAGACGAAAACCAATAGATAGATTTCAAAGAGTGTTGAACCCAACACACACAAAAGAAAGTAGGACGGTTTACGTACCCGGTCATCACAACTTCCCCACCGTAGGAAATTTCGCCCTCGAAATTTGAATAAACTACCCAAACAAGATAAAGACGCCAAGTGGTCAAAACCATGCGAGATGTTGTTTTCAAATCACAATATCCATTTTCAATCAATATTCGTCATTCTCATCATAGTTTCCACGCATCTAGGCTCAAGGCTAACAATAACGGTTAATAATATCATATAAGCATGAAATATTTCGATCAACAACAATGGCCACACATATTAATCCAAACTCAAAACAACAATACTTATCATAACACATGGTTAATACTCTTAATGTGTTTCCCTCAACATTAAGGAATGTTACAAATTAAAACCACTTAAGCATTCACAAACAAATCCGGATACTTGGATCGGACCTCCGCTTCCCGTTCCCAAGTTGCCTCCTCAACCCCATGGTGCCTCCACAACACCTTTACTGACGGTATAGTTTTACCCCGTAGCACTTGCCCCCGGGTGTCTAGTATTTGAACTGGCCGCTCTTCGTAAAAGGCATCCTCATCTACCTCCAAATTAACCCAATCAAGCACGTGAGAAAGGTCAGGTTCATACTTCCTAAGCATAGACACATGGAACACATTGTGAACCCCTGAAAGTTGTGGCGGTAAAGCCAACCGATATGCCACCTCCCCGATTCTTTCCAATATCTCGAAAGGCCCAATAAATCTCAGAGACAACTTACTGCTCTTACCGAATCTCATCAAACCCCGCCTAGCTGAGATCTTGAGGAAAACATGGTCACCCACTTCGAAAGACAAAGGCCGTCTCCTCTTATCGGCATAACTTTTTTGTCGGCTTTGAGCCGTAGCTAACCTCTTCCGAATGAGAACAACTTTCTCGGTTGTCTCCCTAACAATTTTCGGACCCAACAACGGTGCATCTCCCACCTCAGCCCAACAAACTGGTAATCTACAAGGTCGGCCATACAAGGCCGCAAACGGTGCCATCTCGATGCTAGCTTGATAACTATTATTATAGGCAAACTCAATCAATGGTAAATGCCTCTCCCAAGACCCCTTGAAATCTAGGACACAAGCTCTAAGCATGTTCTCCAAAATCTGGATGGTACGCTCTGACTGCCCATTAGTTTGAGGGTGGTAAGCGGTGCTAAAGGTCAACTTAGTTCCCAATGCCTTTTGAAGGCTTTGCCACAACCAAGCAGTAAAGCGAGAATCCCTATCTGATATAATGGTTATAGGAACTTCATGAAGTCGAACTATCTCACTAATGTACAACTCTACCAAGTGCTCAACTGAGTCGCCGATATGCATTGGAATGAAATGCGTAGACTTAGTGAACCTATCAACAATCACCCAAATGGCATCATTGCCCCATTGTGTTCTAGGAAGCCCAACTACGAAATCCATGGTAACGTGCTCCCATTTCCACTCGGCTATTGGTAAGGGTTCTAAAAAACCCGCTGGTCTTTGGTGTTCGACCTTCACTTGTTGACAAGTAAGGCACTTCGACATAAAGGATGCGACATCCCGCTTCATACCCTTTCACCAAAACTGACGGCTAAAATCATGATGCATTTTGGTGCCTCCCAGATATACCGCAAGGCGTGAGTGATGGAACTCCCGAAGCACTTCTTTTCTACAAGATTCTGGTACAAACAAACGGTCTAGGAATCGTACACTCAGATCCAAATGGATGTTCAAATCCCTCTTTTCCTTCCCATTGGAGATTCTATCACGAATTGACTCTACTTCATGGTCTCCTTGTTGTGCCTCTATAACTTTACTAATCAAGGTAGGTTGAGCACTCAAAATAAACAAAGTTGCACCCTCTTCGGACTCACCCAAGTGCAATTCAAACTTGCCGATGTCACTTAACATAATCCATTCCCGAATGGCCATACTCGCCAAACTACTCACGGATTTTCGACTTAAGGCGTCAGCCACTAAATTGACCTTTCTTGGATGATAGTGTAACTCGAAGTCATAATGCTCCAAAAATTCCATCCACCTCCGTTGGCGTAAATTCAAGTCTTTTTGGGAAAACAAATACTTTAGACTCTTATGATCAGAGAAAACTTCAAACTTCTCACCGTACAAATAATGCCTCCAAATTTTCAAGGTAAACACTATTGCTGCTAACTCCAAGTCGTGGGTAGGGTAATTCGTCTCATGAGTTTTCAATTGTCGTGAATCGTAAGCTATAACCTTTCCCGCTTGCATCAAGACACAACCAAGTCCATCTCAAGACGCATCACAATAAGCGGTGTAACCCAAACCCCTTTCTGGAATTATCAACATCGGTGCGGTAGTTAGTCTAGTCTTAAGCTCTTGGAACGACTTTTCATAAGCCTCACTTCACACAAACTTAACCCCATTTCTAGTCAATCTAGTCAAAGGCGCGACTAGTCTAGAAAAGTCCCTTACAAAACGCCGATAGTACCCACTAATCCCAAGAAACTCCAGATCTCAAGAACAATTTTTGGTTCTCCCCAATCTTGTACGGTATCTATCTTTGAAGAATCTACAATTACCCCCTCTCTTGACATTACATGACCCAAAAACTTCACTTCGGTGAGCCAAAACTCGCATTTCTCAAATTTGGCATACAACTGATGCTCCCTAAGCAAATCAAGCACTACCCGCAAGTGAGCCTCGTGTTCTTCCTCGGAGGTTGAATAAATTAAGATGTCGTCCACAAAGACGACCACAAAATGATCCAAGTATTCTCTAAAAATGCGGTTCATCAAGTCCATGAAGGAAGCGGGTGCATTAGTCAACCCAAAAGACATTATAAGGAATTTATAGTGGCCATAATGCGTATGAAAGGCCGTTTTCTGGATGTCCTCCTCTCGGACTCTCAACTGATGGTACCTCGACCTCAAATCTATCTTCAAAAAGCAACAAGACCCTCTAAGTTGGTCAAACAAGTCATCTATTCTGGGTAAAGGATACTTGTTCTTGACGGTAACCAGATTCAACTTGCAGTAATCAATACACAACTGCAACGACCCATCCTTCTTCTTCGCAAAGAGAGCCGGCGCTCCCTAAGGTGATGTACTAGGGTGAATGAAACCCTTGTGTAAATGCTCTTGGAGTTGAATCTTCAACTCATGTAACTCCGCAGGTGCAAATCTATATGGTGCCATAGAAATTGGTGCCGTTCTAGGCACTAAGTCAATAGTGAACTCAATCTCCCAGTGGGGTGGCAAACTAGTAAGATCCTCGAGAAATACGTTCGGGTATTCACAAACTACCCTTAGCCACTCAACACGAGTCCCGTCACTCTCACTATCCAAGAGTGTAGCAAAAAGGCTGCTAAGCTCGTTTCTACTACGAGGGTCAAAAACTGGCGATAAGACCCTATCAACCCGGTTTCCCAGAAAGTAAAAACAATCACCACTCGAGGTGCACATTGTGACCCTTTGATGAAAACAATCAATCACTGCCTGGTACGAAGACAACCAATCCATGCTTAGAATAACATCAAAACTCGACATGTCTAGCAACACAAAAGCAAACGGGAGTCGACGCCCGACAACCTCTATCTCACAACCACGACACCCCCGATCTAAGTCAATTGTACCCCCAACTAGTGACTCTACTCTAAGAGAAAACGCTAACCGTGCCACCTTTAACCCCAATGCAGATGTGAATGTAGCAGATATGAATGAATGAGACGCACCTGTATCTATCAACACATTAGCCAAAGAGTTACACACAACAAAAGTACCTCTCACAACAGAGGATCCTGGCAACTGTTCTGGCACGATAACAACATACACGATCCCCTATGGCCTCTGATCAACCTGCCTATCTCTCAGAGCATAGGCCTGCTGCACTGACTAAGTCGAAGCGGCTCCTTGATTAGCTCGCGAAGTCTGGACTGAGTGAGCCTACTGGTGGCTCTGAGTCTGCCTTGACCCTGATGCGCTAGATACGCCTCCCAACTGCGGGCAAGCTCTCTTCATGTGTCCTGACTGACCGCACTGATAGCAAGTAGGCCCCCCTACTCTGAGATCGGTTAGGTGATGGTGGCAACATCTGCTGTCATCCTCCCTTCTGTGGACATACAAAGGCCTTGTGACCTAGTTGGCCACAATTGAAACAAGAAAAACCACTCGGTGCACTCTTCCTTTCCTGGGCCCACACTAGGCAAGGGAAAAATAGATCTAGATTGTTGCGATTGGGACTGGGATGAAAATCTGTTCCTGCTTTTCTTATTGGGCCTATAGTCCTCCTGTGACCCTTGACCCCTTGACCCCTCGACCTTGACCCTCGGATTCTCTCCTCCTCAGCCTCTACAGTAATCTTTATGTGTGCCGCCGCTTCCACAAGTCGGTCATCATTCCAGATCATGTTCCCGGCAACCTTGAACAAGATCTTGGTTTTTAGTTTCTTCTCAAACTCAATGCAACGATGCTCTTCTGTTGCCACTAACTCCGGTGCAAACTGGGACAAACTAGAGAAGACCTCTTCAAACTCAGCCACAGACATATTGAGTTGCTTAAGGTCCTGTAATTCCTGCCTCAACCTCTCCCTAGCAGTGGGAGGTAGGTACTTATCTTGGAAAGCTACCACAAATGTTTCCCATGTCGGTTCTATTCGGCCCTTAGCGTATTTCCACCATTGGTCCACATCCCCCTTGAGGTAATAACTCGCAAGAGTCACTCTAAGCTCACTGTCTTCTATGTGAACCATCTCAAATGTCTTCACTGTCTATTCCAGCCATTCATTCGCTTTCTTAGGCTCGGGGCCACCGTGGAACTCATCCGGTTTGGCCCGCAAAAACTCCCTAGTAAGGAAGCTCGCCTTTGTCTCTATGGCGTTCTCTTGGGCTTGGTTCTCCCTCCGCAATATGTTCATCGACTCCCTCAAGGCCCCCGCCATTTCTCGAGCTAGGGCCCCCATTGCGGCTTGACCCGTTTGCCCCGAAATTTCCGCTTGCCCCACTTGCTAGGCCATATCAGCTTGGCCCAACCCCTCTTCTCGTACCGAAACCTCATGAACCGGCACTCCATGCACACCCCGGTGAGCCCTATCACGCCTTCCACCTCTACCACGCCGGGCTTGACGCCTTCCTAACATCCTAATTAAGGAACAAGATAACCGATTTAGCACATAATTTCAAATGTGCTCGCAACTTGCCTCACACGTTAGACTACAACAATTCTATATATGTTCTACCACACAAACAATTTAATTCCACTCTACATAAGCACTTAGTCATGTAAGCACATACGGATTATCCTTTTGTGATGAAATTTGTCCCACGAAAAATCAAGAATTTTTAGTAGAATGAGTATTGATCAAGTACCCTTCTAATAATACCTTAGGGAATTTAATAGGCGCAAATGGCATCCCAAAAGTCCAATCCCATATCCATATAGTCACAACAAAAACAAAATATTTCCTAATCATGCAAATTGAACCCACTGTGGCAAAACAACCACTCCACGCGAGCCCCAAGTATTCAAACCTGGTAGCTCTGATACCAAGTTGTAACGCCCCAAAATAACTCAACACAAATTAGGTACATCAACCAACATCCATTAAGGAATAATAGCAAATCTCCAACCTTTACATCATTAATCAATAAGGTTTATACAAAAGTCCCACATGCAAATTATACATTCAAGGGTATAGAAATACATGAATCTATAGTATGTAAAACATCAAATCCCAAAATAAATAAAATGCCCTTAAGGGCTTACATGTTCCAAGGCTTAAGCCCGATTACATAAAAATGGTCTCTCGAACCCATATATGAATAGTCCTTGGCTAGCAAAATAAATCACAACGAAAATAGAGTCATTAACTCTTCACAAAATATTTCCACGCCCTTAACTCGGCGGGATCACCACATCTTTTCCTACACCAAAATCCCATAGGGGTGAGCATAAAGCCCAGTAAAGAATCCTTAACAAAATATATACAGTTATGTAAGACTTCCAATATTAAATGAAAATGCCATGCAATGCCAATTAAAAGAGGAATTCATTTACACGCCTTTTTTTTTTTTTTAAAAAAAGTCACCATGTTCAATAATAGCTTGAAATCTCAACAATTCTGAAATTACAATTTTATTCAATGGGGTGGTAAATACAACTCAGGTAATCCCTAGGTTGGTGTCTGCCAGTAGGCTTAACTAGCACTATCAAAAACGCCACTTTACCGGTTGCTAACCGGAAGGGAATCCGTACGTGTTTTTGGTCTTTCACCCCGGACACTCAGGCCAACTTAATAATTTCCATCTACACCTCCTACCCGGACTTACCAACATATTTACCCCCAAAAACATTACCATAGTTTCATTTCATAACATTTCTTTCTCAACGAAAAAATTTTCAAATTTCAATTCACAACTTGCATCAATGTAATGGTGGCAATCCCAATACAATATATGCTAAAACTCAATAATGATGTTGATATAATCAATTAAATGAATATGCCATGCAATAATCATCACCACTATATAACATTTCTCCATCGTCAACTCTTTCCACGATAATTTATCATAATTAGACTTTCCATTCTCCTTTCAACACTATCAAACATGATACCCATAATTTCATCTAATTTCATCACAATTAAATACTTCCACATTTCGTATTAAATCGACAATTTGCCATCTCATAACTTTGTCTACAATTTTAAATATAAATTTCCCTCCCTATGTTTCACACATTCCATGCAATGCATTATTTCTTTTGTGGCATAACAACAAATTGGTTAATTTCATAAACCCCCAACCCATTTCAAAAACAAAATCCATAATTTGGGTCTTTGACTAATATGAGGTATCTCCTCACCTTTTAAAAGAACACACACACACATCAAACATTATCTCTCATACAATAAGAGTGAAACCCTCAAGGATTAACTAAAAGATTTGAGATTTTGAAACTCTCTTTTAAAAATCTCTACATTCTTGAGCCAAAAATCAAAACCTACATAATAACTTCAAGAAAACCCTTAAATCAACATCCACCTTGCAAAACATGTATACATAACTCGAAAAAGTCCCTACCTCAAGCTTGATGAAGAGATTTGACGAAACCCTAGAATTAAAAGTTCTAGAAATTCGATCTCCACCATACAAAGTGAAGTTCTTGCTTTGCTCTCCAAGGTTTGTGAAAAAGATGGATCAAAACTCAATGGATTGCAAGAAATCACAGGTTCTTGGTGTTTGATGAGAGTTTTTAGAGAGAAGGAGAAGAAAAAGTGTTTTTAGAGTGAGAATGGAGGGTTAAAAGTGACACTCACTCATCATAAAGAGAGAGGAAAAAAAAAACAGAGTTCTCGGATCCAACCCGTCCCACACGTACGACACTTGCCCTCGCACGTGCGGAGCTTGCTTCCCGCACGTGTGGCATTGATCCCCGTACGTGCGGCACTCCTCCCTCGCACCTGCATATAATGTAGTGTGCAGCCTAGAATTCTTCCAGATTCCTGCACGTGCGGCCTCATCTCCTGCACGTGCGACCCAAGGCCTCGCACGTGCGGCTCAACCCCCAGTCCAGAAAAATTCCAGCTTAAGTGTAGAACCCCCTGGATTCAACTTCAAGCCTTCCGAAACAAGTGGGACTCAGAATTAAAATTAAGAGAGACGAAAACCAAGAGATAGATTTCAAAGAGTGTTGAACCTAACACGCACAAAAGAAAGTAGGACGGCTTACGTACCCGGTCATCACATTGAAAATCCAGAATTCGCCACCATTGCTCGAGCGACAGCGATGCGAAGAAGTTTTCGCTCAAGCGTAGAATGCAAACAACCAGTATTTTTGCAGACCAAGGGGTCCGTTCGAGTGACAAATGTTGCGCTCGAGCGAAGAGTCTTATTTCAGAAAATTTTGAAAAGCTATTTCATATTTCGATTTCTGTTCTCTTTGACTTCCAAGCATTCTTAGGCAAGAATTATGACTCAACAAGATTAATAAACTAATAATCAACATAAATTAATTGGTTAAGGAATAAATCACTGATTTAATAATAATTGATTAAGAAGCCAAGTATGAAATTGGTTTATTTGGAAAAGAGGGATTGGATAATGAAAGAATGTGTGAAATAAGAACCTGGTTCATTTGAATAAAAAAAAATATGCGTAGTAGAACTTCAGACTACTTAGAAAGAAAAAGACAAGAAAAGTCAAGTTCGATCAAGGAATTGATATTGTATTTCAATGTGTATATGTTATGTGCTTGTGTAGGTGACGTGCTATTGTTTACCTGATTTATCTGATCTGTCCAGTTTGACTGATTTGCTTCTGCAACTATCTGCGAATAATAACTTAGTAAAGCTATGTTCAAGTTAAATTATTTTTTGCATATGGAATAAGATTTGTTCTATGAAATGCTATGTTTTATACTATGAATGATTGTCCAATTCTAACAAATATTTGTGGCATTAATTATGTGGTTCAAGTATGTTATCTGTACCAGGACCTGAGGTTTCTTTATGGAACTGACAAGTTATCTGCACCCGACTGGAGGTTCATTTATGGAACTAACAAGTTATCTATTCCCCGTCCGGAGGTTCTTTTATGGAACTGACAACTTATTTGCACCCGGCTGGAGGTTCCTTTATGGAATTGACAAGTTATTCGTACCCGGCCAGAGGTTTCTCTATGGAACTGACAAGTATGATCTTTAATATATGTGATCTGTTACCGCTAACGGATGTACTATGTAAGATTAAGCATGGACTTTGATTTTTGTACATGATTTGAATAAGAATATGAATATGAATATGAATCTGTTTGTAATTGAAATCTGAATATGCATAAGACTCTATTTCTGACAAGAATATGTTTTTGATATAAACTCTGATTTCTGACTCTGTGATGGACATCATTCATTGAAACCCTTTATTTTGTTATTATTCACTGGGCTCCAGCTCGCTGTATTATTTACGTATGTAAGTGATCAAGTGCATGACCAGGCTTAGAGGCTTTTACTTGGAATCTGTTTTTATCAGCCAACCTATGTGCCTTCCGTGGAGGTTGTTGATATGTCAAGTGATTATGGCTACATGATTTAAAGTTTAAGTTTTGTTTTATTGTCTGGTTAAACAAGTCTTTGTGTATTTTGTAAATAGGGCTAAGACCTTTTCTGTCTAGTCTGTATATATATGATGATGTGTAAATATATGTATATAAAGTTTTAATTTTTCTGTCTCATATAAGTCTGCACAGCTTAGTGGACATTGTATATTTGTTATTTGCTTTCGCTAGCCCCTAATATTATGGTAATCTGTCTCAAAGTCCTTCGGTAATCCCAGTATTACTGGCCGGTTATGATGCTAAACCTATAAAGGTGGATTTGGGTCGCGACACACCCAAATCTGAATTGTAACTCGAGATTGTCTATCCAAACCAGATCCGAGTTATGCCTGAATTGCCCAAGTTGTCCAAATTTGCACATAAGTTTTTTTTTTTGGTAAGATTAAATTAATTAATTTCTTAAAATTATACTCCATTGACATTATTATTTTTTATT